GGGAGCCACAACATTTAATGTCCAGTATGTGTTAATGTCGTAGTATGGGCTAAAAATATAAACGAGAGCGCAAATTTACTTCGCTCTGCTTTAAGCTTTAGCCGCTTTCCTCCCATCTCCGCCAGAAAACTTTTCTTCAAAACTAGAAGAGTTTCTTGTAAAATGTCTCAGCGTCCGGCTGTTTTACCAGGCTGAGGTCGCTTCTCATTCGCCAGCTTCTCGTTCTAATTTTCCCGTTCCACCTTAAATTCTGCCTTAGGCGCCGATTGTAACTGCTGCACCATTTAAGGTGGAACGGAAAAATTCGAAAGAGAAGGGACTTTGGACATTTTCGCAACTTTTTTTTAACTCTCGTTGCAGATTTAACCAACCGCGCTGCTTATAAATGCGAGTAAGTCCACCAAATGTTCGTCTTAATCTGTTTTTTCGTTCGCTACTGGCGAGGCCAGACCTCGGTGCTATGTGACCTGCTGTCTGCTGTCTCTTCTCGGTCGTTGAGAACCAGGGCTTTCGCGCTATGCTGCACACTTTGGAGCCGAGATTCAGCGAGATTCAGCGTAGGAGGATAAAACCCAGAAAAAAGAAAAAAACCCTAAAAACATCAGTGCTAGTGTGTATTTGTGAGTTTAGTCCAACATTTTTAAAACAGTAATGCCTTTTTTTTTCCCTGACTGTGGTTTTAATAAGATATTAGTATCTGAGATACTGCATCTCACCAGGTTGAGTTTCTGCCATGAATGCAGTGAATATTCTCCCTTATGTTCACGCCAGATGGTTGCGCAGGCCGCTTTCAATCACGTGATGTAAATGATATAAATGGGACTCGCAAACATTATCAACAAAGCTAAACGATAACTTGATTTTACTGGCAACGAATTCTTATTACCACCGTTATCGATAATGTTGATTTGTTGCAGCCCTAATATGTATTATATTGCAGTTTGTTACTACAAAACATGAGTGCCTTAACATGATCGTGTTGCCATAGAAGCATGTTTGTTAAGGATGTGACTGAGAAGACAGAGGCTCTGGTGGAGCTTGTTTGGTAACTTACTCTAGCTGATGTTAGCCACTTACAAAAAGATCCCAAATTCCATTTAATTCAATGAAGGACTGATTAGCTGAAGCAGGTATAAGCAAGTAACTGTAAATACTGGACTTCCTTGTGAAGAGCTTTGGAAATTAGGCTAACATACTGACATATTGTTTATATTTGTAAAGTTTGTGTAGTAAAGTTGTTAGTGTTTTTTGAACAAATAAATGCTTACTGCCCTCAAAAATAGCTTGAAAAATCATTTCACAGATCCTAAGACAGTAAAAATGAGCAAAATTATCACTTGTTTTTCATTCAACCGAACAAAGAAAACAAAAACGTCTCTTGGTAATGGAGAAGCAGAAGAGGTTGTACTTAGTTATCCTGACCTAAGAGTTAGCCTAATGACTGAGCTAGCAGTAAGCTCAGTCTAAATGGAGAAGCACCTAATTCAATCCACTTTGAAAACCTTCTCTTCTTATTAGGCAAAATACCCACTCAATGCATTTGTGCATTATGGAGAATGACAGTCAATTTATTTAATCTGGGAGGGTTAAGGAGATGACGGTTGCAGCGCTGGCATGCAGAAACATTTTAAAAGGTAGGGGAACCAATTCCTCCGAATAATCTCCCAATAATACGACTCCCATTCTAACTGCTTCACTTCTGTCCTCGGGTACTGTGATCTGAGGGCAAAGCAGACACAAGTGTCACCAAATCTAATGACAAAATGATACAGTGTGGAAAACGAAAAGGGAAAAGCAAGCCCTTTCCAGAGAGAAATCGCCGTATCACAGCTCTGCTTGCTTGTGGCGTGACAATGGCAGTTTGGTTTTAAAATGGAGAGGAAAAATAGCTCAAAAAGGGCTTAGAAGAACTAGGCTGCACATCACAAATGCAAAAATGCTGAATTATTAAAAAAGAAAAAGAAGACTGAGCAATTTCCTTCGAGTTCAGAACCAGGTACGGGTGAGCCAGTGGACACAGTGGCCAAAGTTTCTACATGTACAATAAAGTTACCTTCCTTACATGGAGTGCAAAAACTGCATACACTGAGAGGTGAGTAGCAGTGGTGTAGGAGAGCACTACATTTGTCTTACTTGACACCAATTAACTTTGTAAAGCTGTCGGGAGTCCTTGCAAGTGCATTTACACTACATTGAGCAAAGGAAGCGTCTGCAGTCTGTTCCTGAAAGGAGCTTTCTGACCAAGGCCTGGATTCATAAAGCACTGCAATCATTTATTAACTACAGCAGGCTATGTGACAAGCTGTGCTGCTATACTGTTATTGACTGCTGGGAACAAGACTGGACTGATATGAAAACCCTGCCAATAATCTGTATTTTCATGTCTGCCAATACCAACTGTGGCTCTGTTATGTAAAAAAAAATTCACATGTAGACACATTTCACTTTCACCAAACATGGATATGCGCACTGAGTTGGAATTATTGTTATTACCGTTAAGAGAACACATAATTCACCTAGTTGGCCTGAAATACGAGTTATGACCTCTGCAATTCGCCTGCAGTTTAATTTAGGCCTAGTTCTAAAAATGACCATATGAACGCAGCCATAATGTAAAATAATTACATTCACTGGACACTTTATTAGAAACACCTACCTTGAACTTTTACTCACGGGTCACTTCATGCGCTCCAACTACCATGAACTGTATTGTGTGAAAGTGGAAAAAGGCACCTCATCACACTGTTTAAAAGCATTTATCTTGGCAATAAGTGCGTTTTTGATTGTAAAAACACCATATATCATTTAAATAAAGGCAGACAAATACAAATATAGTAAAAAATAATAAGAATTTCACTTGGAAAAAATATCCTCTTGTGAGCTTGTCTGAAGAACAAAGTTTGGCTCCAGATTTCTTCTCAGTGCGCCCAGCCATTGCATTGATTTGTTACGTTCCACTTCCTTGATTTAACAAAATGAAGGATTAATTAGCCAATTAGCCAGGTGATGATAAGGTGACGATAACTACAATTAATACTGAACTGCCATGAGCAGAAGTTTAGAAATGGCTGGGAAAGTGAACACATTTAAATCTTACTGTTTATTATTAGTATTATTATTATTATTTTATTTTTTTTTTACTTTGCACAGTATTGTGGGTCTACCACAGCTGTTCAATTACAGACTGCAGCCCATCTGTGGCACCACAATTTGCCAGTCACCTTCTACTTCACCACTGGTCACTGCTAGAGTTGTCCACCACACCAAAAATATCTAGCTGAGAGCTGGACTATTGTTGTATTTATTACACAGCTTCTTTAAAATAAACTTATCAATCTTTATTTTTTAAATTGACACACAGCTCCTACTGTATCTTAATTTATTCATGGCCTGCATTTCATGTGTCTGTGCACTTAAATGTAAAGAACCTTTAGTAACTTTTTTATTTTTAACAAAATCATTCAGGTATGTTCAAATTTAATGTAAGTCATTCTAGGAATTCTTGGGTAGATTGGGGCAGTCATGGGCTGGAGGTTAGGGAACCATCCCTGTGACCGGAAGGTCGCTGGTTCGATCCCAGTTGCTCCCTGGGCGCCGTGGATAGGGCTGCCCACCGCTCCAGGCAAGTCTGCTTCCTGCCCCCTAGTGTGTGGGTGTTCACTAGTGTGCATGTATGTGGGTATTTCACTGCACAGATGGGTTAAATGCAGAGGTCTAATTCCTCTGTGTGCAAACACAGTTGGCTGATGGTTCTGAATTCAATTCAATTCAATTGATGTGATTCTCAAATAAAATCATCACTGTGTAAGAGCATTACAGTCTAAAACAATAAGCAAAACTGGTTGGTCATTTATTCTTAAAACATTACAGGAAAAAGCTGCATAACTCTGCCTACATTTCATATTACGTTTTTTTCCCCACCAGATTTAATTTGGGAAGAAAAGAAAAAAAAACACAAACTGAGTAAAATGTGGCGAAGTGAAGTAAAAGTCGGTTTGAGATTCTAAAGCTGAGACCATTACACAGCACACTATTTGAAGCGTTCAAGTTCACTGAACCAAAATCAGAGGCTTAATAAATAATTCACATAACTAATAATGTGACGGCAGGCAAATTTCTCTTTCGGCCACAAAGTCATTAAAACCTACTGGACTAAATCATCTTGAGGAAGTAATCAATTTCAGACAAGGTACAGTGACTCAATTCATCACAGAAGAAAAATAAACAGCCTAAATGAGTCTGTGATGTACTTCACTGTACTTTTCAAATTAAGCCAAGGAGATGCATTACAACGTTCTTGAGGCTTCCAAATGTTTAGAAAATTTCGGCAGAGTGAAGATCTCTGAGCCAACTCACCAGCTCTTGAAGCCTTAATGTCATTTTTATTTTTGCTTTATTACAATATAGCTTATAATACATAAACAAAACCAGTGCAACATCTGCATTTTTTTCCCCATATAGTATTTTAAATAGTTCTCTGATATTAACACTTTATGTAGAGCCAAAAAGGTGTAAGTAGCAGTGCATGATTGAAATCAAATAAGATTGAAATTGGCAGACTTTTTGCTCAGAAACACATAATCAGGTAACTTTTTGATTTTGGCTGGTCTATGTTGTAATTTTATGATGTATAAAATGTGAGTCAGGTAAGTGCACCTGCACTTGAATACTACTTCTACACCAATACCAAATAGTAAAAGTATGCATGACTCATTGTACTAAATAGCCAGTCACCTTTTACTTTTGATGTAGCACTTTATCCGATTCATGTCATTAACATCTAATTATTTTATTTATGAACATAATATTGACCTGTTACTGAGTGAATAACATCATTTATACTGTGACTTTAGCTAGCAGGGTTTTCTGTTGAGGTAGCGGGCTTTCCCTAAGCACAATGTTAAAACTGTGGTGTGGTAACTGTTCATATGCTACAGATACATCAGACAGAGATTAGTTTAAAAAAACCCTCTAGTCTTCCTTTAAATGTTTTTTCTTACCTGTAAAGTTGGCAGCAGACAGGTAGAGCCAAGTGAGTGCTGGGATGAAGAGCAGGGCGAGGGACGCAGCCAGGAACTTCCTGCGCCCACGACAAATTCCCAGCATCCTCTGGGGCCGAAGAGGACACGATCAGGAGGCTGAGAGACCTCTACGTGGGCAACAGCTGTTTGCCAGGAGGTACATGGCACTGTGAGAAAGGACAGAGTTACTGGGAGGCACACCTCCACAACAAAAGCTTGACAGTCAAAGCAGACGATCAGACTCAAGCTGAAAGGTTTTCAGGAACACTGATGTGGTCAAATCAGCCTGAAATCAAAACAGATTTTTTTTTTACGCTGTCAGTTCATGTACCTGGTCATAGGAGGATTCAGTTTATTATACAATTTCAAAGACAAAATTGTCATTTTCTAAAAATCATCCATCAAAATGTAATGACTTTAGCCCACCTATAAAACAACATCTGACTTCTGCACCAGCGGTCAGGGAAAACTATATTAACCAACAATATCATGTTTAATCCCCCCCACCTATCATCACACTAAATACTCGGTTAACTCAGAGAGGTATGCATAACAATACTGGAATCATACTGGTAGAGGTGGGCAATACAGTGATATCGTATTGTGATAAATTACGCTATTATGATATTTCAAACTGCTATTTGATGATGTATTTATTGTACAACAGAAGAGCAGAATGTTTAGGTGATGCTGGGCTACTGTGCTAAAATATCTGCATTTTATTCATACTGCTACACTGTTAAGCCTACAGAAATAAATATTATATATACTTGTGACGGCAATCCAGGTAGATGCAGTCTCAGTTTCTACATTTTATAAATGTTTATGCACAAGTATCAGCAGATACATACATGAAAAATATTTGATATCGGTGCTTCCCTATCAGAGACCTGTTGTAGTACTGCGTTTCACTCGGAAATACATCGCAGTGTGGAAAAAAGTGTTATGATTCCTGATTCACGCTGACTTTAAGAAAAGTCAAGGCTTCAGTTTTCAGTTCACTACAAAAAGTCCTCAGGCATCCTTCTGACAGAAGTTAAAGTTTCATGTTTTCCCTTTTAGATTATACAGTTTTACACTACACTAGTCAGATCATCGCCATCCATTAATTTAGGAAGGAAAGCCAAATAGTCTAAAAGGAGGAAAGCATTCCTTTAACTCAAAGAGACACTTTTTGCACTTCTTGTTTTATATGACACACCAAGTCATTCAACTCAGAACAATCCACTCTCTGTTTTGTGAACAGTCATTGCAGAGGCAGAAAACTGAGAATTCAAAACAAATGACTAGTGGGGGCAGACACTGAGAGCATATTTGGAGGAGGCGTCTCATAAAGTAAAAATGATTTGGGGTTTTACAAGGCCATTCCCACAAAACTGTGTGAGGAGTCTTTCAATGCCAATAAGTGATACTGTTTACTGTCTTCAGTAAAATATCCAAGCCAGCTTTCTCTCACAATGTGGTATGACTTTAACTGGAGGTGAAAGTGACTTATAAACACAATCCATCTCAGGTGTGGAGCTGTGTTTTTGAAGGGTGAATGAAGCCAAGGCCGTCGTAAAGATGGAAGTGTACACAGAGTAATGGAGAAAGTGAATTAATGTGTTGTGAGGAAAGAGGGAAAGAGAGCCAGAGAGAGAAGACATAGGAGGAAGTAAAGAAGAAATAAGAGCAAATATAATTATTTTATTTAATGACTTGCACTCTGGCACTCTTATATTACTAGAATAACCCAAATCTGAACTGCAATTCTTATAAGACCCTTTCTCTGCACATGGCATTGAAAAGTTGGTCACAGGTAGATGGTTCAATATCATACGTGACAGGGCTGCACAAGATATCATTTGCTAGTACTGGCCTTTGCAATTCTAATATCGTAGAAGGATACAATATGCATGAGCCTCTAACCAATGAGGGAGGTCTTAGGCACTAGGGTCTGACTGATATGAAAAGTGGCAATGCCCTTATCTAATGTCATCATTAGAGAATATCTTGAAGGAAACTGTCTTGTTATTGGGGTCTGGGGTACCATGCCTAGACCAAAAGAGTTCTGTGAGGCCTTTAGAAAGAAGACTGTAGGTGCCTATGAGTCTGACAGAAGGTTTGAGAAGTATTTCCAAAATATAAAAGTCAATCCTTCCAGTGTCTGGAAGATCATCTACAAGAGATAATATTTAAAACCACTGCCAACAGAGTGGACAGAGTGCCCCAGAAAATTTAACCCAAGAGCAGACTGTAAAATGCTAAAAGACGTTTTTAAGAACCTAAAAATTGTATTACTGTATCTGCAAATAGCTCTTGCCACTGTGGATGTCAGAGCACATGTATCTACCATTAGAATAAGACTGCACAAATTTGATTACATAGGAGGTGCACCAGGAGGAAGCATTTGCTGTCTAAAAGCAAATGGGGGTTGGAATAGGGCTGTACATGCAAGAAGCCTCTCAAACACTGCACAGTTGAAAGAATTCTGCGTGGAGTGGACAAAAATTCCTCCCAGTAGATGCCAGAAACTGGTACATAGTTATAGGAAACATCTTCACAAAGTTGTTTCTATCAAAAGGGGCAATACCAGTTACTGAAGCCAGGGCTGTTAAATAAATGACTGCAAAGACAAACTTTATTCGTTTTTTGTTCTATTACATAACATTTATCTATACATACTGTTTAGCTGATGATCACACACTGACATGCCCACATATGTAAAAAAAAAACAAACAAAAAAAAACAAACAAAAAAAACAACTATATTTCAACAGAAAATCGCAATGCATCTAATAATGGATTATTTTAACATATTATATTCGTTTGAGATTTTTCCCACTAATGGTAACCAATCACTAAATGGATAATGTGCTATTAGCGTTTCTCATGTTCCAGATGAGTTTCTATAAATGTTTTGGCAAACAAGGCTTTAAAGTGATCCAACAAATGTGAATTATTTTGGTCAAAATAATGCAAAACACATCAACCAGGGATATGGATGTATCTGAATTACATTTTCCTTTTAATGGAGAATCTCCATTCAGAATGCTTTGTAGTCCAGGACTAGACTTAACCCCTGTCTGGGAAACCAACCCTACGGGCTTACACCAATATGTTTTTACCGCAACTGGTAGCAATATAAGTCATATTTAGTGTTTAGTCCAGATCATGCAGCCCTAAAAGATGATAAAAACCCACACAGTTTATCACAGAGTATAGCAATTAATTACACAAGGGTATATCCATCCACACACACAAGATTCTAGCCACTGGATGACCGTGGAAGCTTGTGTGATACGCAGGCCGAATTTTTCTTTGGAGTCAGCACTAGTGAAGGGCATTGGGCCTTCATGTACATTACCATTACAAAGAAAAGCAGAGCAGCCAGAGGCAGAAGCTCAGAAGTGAAGAGCCTTTTCTCAGTGTTTCCTCCAGCAGCTCTCTCAGGCTGGAGTTTACAGTGGCAGCCAGTCATGCTGACACACCAGCACCAAAACATTCTGCGGGTGGATAATGAAACCCTGCTCAGCCAGAGACATGCTGATCACGGGTTACGGCACTGAGGTCAACACTCAACTGCACAGAAAAAGGCATGCAAATTTGTATTTTACTAGACTCCTTTACATTTATACTGTATGGTGTCAGGAACTGTGCTAGACTTAGTGATATGGTAATAGGCTGCTGCGATATATTTCAGCACTATACTTTTTCTGACTATTTTATGGGCATTGTCAGCACTTTTACAACACCTAAAAACTGCAAGCGTATTTAGACCAATTACAGAGAGCCTATAAACAACAACCAGTAACTGCATAATGCTTAAAATGCATGGAAACAAGTAGCTGCCTGGACGTCCGCCTATTACTTCTACCATTTGTTTGATGTTTCACCCAAGTTGTTCATTTTTGAGAAACACTAAATACATAGTTTGAAAAATAATTTTACTCAGTCTTTTCCATAGCTTTGTCAAAATAAGGCATTTCTGTTTTGCCCATTTCAACATATCTGCACACCTCAAAAAAACTAAATATTGTAATACATATCACATCATATAATGCCTAGTATTGTTATTATTTTTTCCTATATCGTCCACTTTTAGCTGGGCATCACAAACTGCTTATGAAACTGACATCTTCAGCGCAGCGGTCCAAAACATTTTCTCAATACCCAATATGCATCACAATATTTGATTTTTCTGAGGTTTGATATGTTGGAACAAAGACCAGAAGAACAAGAAGTGCATATTTAAAAACTGCAATGAATATAATGAGTTTCACATACTGCACTACACGAACTCCAATTAAGCAATACTGATTACACTCTCTTTGTAATGAAACATGCAGTTGGCATTCCTTAAGTACTGAAGATTTCCATCATCTGCTCAGAAAACTATACACAATCAACTCCAGAAATATTGGCACCCCTCAAGAAAGTGAGCAAAAAAACATGAATCAAATACAGTTGACACATCCAATGATTCTATATAATGTTGATAAATTGCTAACTATTCATTAAATAAAAATCATTTCTGCATAAGTGTTGTGTCTACAAAATAGTTAATTCTGTCAAAACGTGTAGCAAAATTACTGGAACCCTCAAAGAATACTCTAAATAAAACCAAAGGAATGTGTGTCATTGGGGAAAAATGTTTCTTGATATTGTCAAGGAACTTTGTTGTCTTCTGTTGTCTATCACCATTTCCTGTTTCACTGGGGTATAAATATGAGGTAACACACAGGTTAAATCTTTTTGTCATCCATCAACATTAGTAAAACACAAGAGCTCAAAATTTAGTTGCATCTTGGGGTTTCACAGTTTAAAAATCAACAGTGAGACACCACCTCCATGACCAAGAACGTTTTGGATGAGTTCCATGAAAGAAGCCCATCCTGAGACCAAGACACAAATCACAGCATCTGAACTTTGCCAAGCAGCACTGGAATTCCACCGAGAACAGTGTGCTGTGGTCAGATGAAACGGATGGCTTTCTGGCCATGCACAACATCGTCATGTTCGGTGAAAAAAGGGGAGAGTACAAAGAATGGCATCTCATACCCATGGTAAAATATGGTGGTGGCTCTTTGATGCCTAGAGGCCGTTTTGCTGCCAGTGGCCCAGGGACTCTTGTTAAGGTCAGTGGCATAATGAATTCTATTCAATATCAGAACATTTTAGCTAAAAAT